GAGTCATAAATATTTGGCTAAAATAACCCTAAGTAATCCTGGGGTGGATTAGTGCAGGTATGGAACTCAAAGAATTGAATGACATGTGTGAATACATGATACTTAAAGGTTGGTAGAAGTTCAAAAGACTTCATCAAGACATGGCCTCTAGCCAGGACACACACGTGAATTTACAAATTAAGCGCCCTAACCCCCATTTGACTTAACCTAGTTTACAGCTACTTTCTATTTTTCTATTCCTTTTGTTATTTTAATCTCATTAAAAGCTTTGCAATCGATTCAAAGGCAGATCTGAATCTTTACAACTGTTCCCAGACTGTAGTCACTGCAATACTTGGCCACATGTGCTGAAGTTCACACCACAGAGTCTGAAAAACTTTAATTCTTGAAGCTATTTGTTTTAAGGTTCATTTGATCTCCTGATTATTTTTGCACTGAGCTGATCTCTGTGGTTGCTACAGGACCCTATTAGCCTGTGAGAATCTTCACAAATCTGAAGTCTGTTTTGGTTACTCAGCAAGACAGGATATATACAGTGGTGTAGGAAAAAGAGGCCTCTAACCTTTAGGATGTAGGCAAAGTGTCGCTCTTCCTGGATGCTTTCTTCCCATTAAGCACTGTCAGTACAGACAGCAGAGCAGCTTTTCTGCACGTGTGCTCCACCCCCAGCTCCCTGTGTGGAGCTCAGGACTTCCAATCCAGGCTTCAAAATTTGTTTTTATTACGAGTTGAAACAAAAGCTTGTGTTTCCGCAGAGCACAGTTGTAAAAGACTTTTGTAACATCTTAAAATCTGGCATATTGAATTTTTCAAACGTTATCCTAACGTCTCGGTATTTTTCCACATTGATTTGTATCAGAACTAGTACAGCTGCACGCACACACACTCCTCTCGCTCTCCCAGCGGCTGAGTTGTTAGAAACAGATTTCTCGTGGGAAATCGGCGCTTTTCCCTGCTGTCAGCCCTGCCCGGCCCTCCGCGCTGCGGGGTCCCCGGGCCGGGCAGGTGCTCGGGGGGCTGCGCTGGGCTCCCCCCGTCCCG